ACACACACACACACACCCACACACACACACACACACACACACACACGCATGCACTCATAACTGTTCATGGTGCAAAACTAACTTCTAAACTTGGGTTACACTTTCACAGTTCAAAACTCAACATTTAGTTCACCTGTTTTAATAAAGTAAAAGTTTAATCCCAAGTCAACACATTCTAGAGGAACATTGACATAACAAAACATAAACATAACATAAAATTCTCCTCTTAAGACTCTGCTCTGCTTTGCTGACAAATGATTACGGTACAGCCCAATGTGGGTGTTCGTGTGCGCGTGTATGTGTGTGTGTGTGTGTGTGTGTGTGTGTGTTTCCTGTCTAATCAACAGTCAGAATAACAAACTGTTTTTCTTCACAAACTGACCATTGCAACTTTCTGCATTTTTGTGTGTGTGTGTGTGTGTGTGTGTGTGTGTGTGTGTGCGTGTTTCCTGTCTAATCAACAGTTAGAATAACAAACTGTTTTTCTTCACAAACTGACCATTGCAACTTTCTGCATTTTTGTGCTCCTTATCCCTCCATACTCCTCTTTGCTTGACACCGAGTTAGGAGGAAATGACTTGCAAACTGCTGATGAAAGCAAAAGGTTCACGAGAGCGCAATACATTCCTGTCTGACTTTTGTACAGTTTTGCTGTTTGGGGTTCAAACATGTTGAGCCGAACCAGAAATGAAAGAGCATCTTTGTTTTGAAAGAGATACTGAGTGTTGAAGTCTTTGGTATGAAGGTGTTTACGTGGCGAAAGGTTAATTGCGTTGGCCCATGAGTATGGAGGACTGCCCTCATGTAACCTTTACTTAATTTTTTTTTCCACCTGATGCCAAAATGAAGTTTTGACCACACCACAAATATGTATAAAATCTCATTTCATGAATGTTGCTTCATTCTCTTATCACAGAACCATGCTGGCCATGAGATATTTGTGATCCAGTGTGTTTCATTTGTAAACATGATGATTAATACTTAACTTGTTCACTGCAGCACTCTCGAAATATGTAAAGTACTTTATCTAGCTTAGATATTGTTAGACAAAGGTAGAGCCATTGTAATGGAATGAAACGATATGCACCATGAAATTCCTCCATCCATTTCAGACACAAGCCATTCACACCATTCAAGTCTTCAATTTACATTCCATTCAAGTTTTTGGAATGTGGGAGGAAGCCGGCGTATCTGGGGAAAAGCCACTCAGAGATGGCCAAGGCTTCTCCGAACCTCACATTTGTGTTGTCATCTGAGACAAAGTACAGGGTATAAATTACAGATATCTGTTTTTAAATGAAGGGAATAAATAGTCATCAGAAAGATGAATACGCAAGAAAAGTAAAGGTACCTGAAAAATCAACTTTCACACATATATAACTTACCACCAATATAAATATGTCAGATAATTGTAGTGTATAGTCTCAGTGAATATAGCAGTGAACCTTATCTTCCTTTTTTTGTCTTTTTGATGACTTCAATTGAGCTTTAAAGGTAAGATGATACAATTTCCTTCACAGGATAGCTGCAACATTCAGTGATTTATCAGTTTACCGGATAATTGGAGCTATAAGTAAATCATACCCAGGTGATCCTGACTTCTAAAGCTGGATGATGCAAATGAACTAAAGTAACCTCAGACCAACTGCTCGGAGGAGGTTATTAGGAGGCATAATAAGCTGCCGAGGTGTGTGTGCAGGCGTGTGCATGTGACTCGCCTGGTCACCCATGCTAACATAGCCATTGTGTCTCTGGGAAAATGACATTTATTCAGGCTTGCCAAAAAAGCTTGTCTAATTTGCTGTCCATGAAAACCATTCCACATTTTTGTCCCAGTCATGTTTACTGTTTAGAACAAGATGACACACTCAGTAGGTCGCATCCTCTATCGACGTCCTACACAAACACACAGATAGGCATCCAATAAAACATATCGCACACATGTACACACACTTGCACGCGCACTTAGACTCTCACGCACATGGGTACGCACGCACACTTCTTCTGCATGCAACTCTTAAATTGACAGAGTGGTAGTTTGTTGCGACTGTCAGCCAAGACCAAAAGTAACCGCATTCACAACAAACTGCTTCCATGTGTTTCACGTGCGCATGCATGTTTTGTGAGATGAATGTTCTTCCTGTTGGATGTGTTGTGGACAAACAGTGCAAAGGCAGAATAAGAAGTCCGCCTCGCAAGTTAAACAACGACTGTAGTTTGAAATGATTCAGAGCAAAATGAAAAAAAAAAGTGCCGTTTGTTCTGAAAGCAACCATGCATGTCAGAACAGTGTGTGTGCACTTGAATGCGTGCGTGTGTGTGCTCAGCATTTGTCAGTGTAATAGCAGAGTACTTGTGAAGCCTGCAGTGGTTTGCCTTTTATGAGAATGACCGATAGTAACCTCTTTTTATTCTTAAGTCTCCTGTATCTGACAATTTGCTCTTCTCCCGTGAATATTTGCTCATTTCTGGCAACTCTAACCTGTGTCACGGACTCAGAATGAGAGTTTTACATCATGAACTCAAGTAACCTCAAATTCACACCCGCAAACAACAAAAGCTTCACCCTCGTCACCCTTTTTACTTGGTTACACAAAAAGCCTTCACTCCCACCTCTTCATTCCTTCCATATCACGAGTTGGTCACGTCATGCAATTAATGCAGAACTTGTGGTGACTCGTTGCTCAACCCATAGCAACTCTGGTGTCTGTCCGCTCACCTACTTATGTACTGCCCAAGGGAAATTCAGGAGACCAAACAAATGTGGCAATTGCATGTGAGCATATTTTCAGTAAAATATAGAACATCAAAATCAGAATAAATAGGAAGCGTGACACGTCAGAAAAAACAACAACACCATCAACAGTAACAATTAAACAAAACAGATGTAACATATACAGGCGCACATGCACTTGGCATAAAAACTGGCACATCTTTTCATGCTGGTGTTTATCTAGTTTACCGTTTAGCCGCACCTTTGTGGGTATTCTGAGGGTCTTTTGAGAGGGCGTATTGGCTCACAATTTGTCTAGTGCATTGCCCAGGTGTTAAATGAGGTTATGGTCTGGGCTCGAAATTTCTTCTACACCAAACTCACCCAAGCGTGCTTCTTGTTGTTTATGCTGACATGTTGTGTGTACCCCCCCGCTGCCCCCGCACCCTCCTAGCTTTCAAGCATGAAGAGTTGGAAAGATATGCGAAAGGAGATCCTTTATCTCACCGCCAATGCCACGGGCTCTCCGAATCAGATGTACCAGGCTGTGTCACGTATTGTCTGTGGCCACCCAGAGGGTGGCGGCCTCAAAATCAAGTCTCTCAATTGGTATGAAGATAACAACTACAAGGCGCTGTTTGGAAACCATGGCAATGATAGTGACAACGAGCCCCTTTCCTACGACAATACATCCAGTAAGTGTCCAAAGGTGCTCTTATCGAAACGTTTGAAATGACAGCCCTGAGTTATAAATGCTTTGTTGCTTGATTTCCAAGCTCCTTATTGCAACACCATGATGCGGAGACTGGAGTCTAGCCCCATTTCCAGGATGATCTGGAGAGCTCTCAAGCCACTGCTTGTGGGAAAGATCCTGTACACCCCAGATACTCCAGCCACACAGAGGATAATCCACGAGGTAGACACTTAAAATCCTGAACCTTGGTCAAAGTTCATCCAGACTGACTGGTGATTTGACATGTGGGTTTTGTTCCCCCCCAGGTGAACAAGACCTTCCAGGAGCTTGGCCTGTTGAGGGACCTTGGTGGGATGTGGGATGAGCTGAAGCCCAAAGTGTGGAACTTCATGGAGAACAGTGAAGAAATGGATTTGGTTAGGGTGAGTGGGCTGCACTGACACAACACACATACGGTCCAGATTTTTCCTCTTGTGATTAGTCATGAGGTGGCTGCATAAATTCAGGATCAAAACACCCTGCAGGCATCACAATCCATCCTGCATTCCTCATATTGCAAACTGTTATACATTAACAACTTTCCCCAACCAAGTTTATCCCCATGCTGTGTGACAATAAGGTGGAGAAAAAGAACACTGGTCTATACAGTAGTTTGCTTTCTGAGTAAACATGAGAGACGAACATCTGACTATTGCGCAGAGAAACAATTAGTCAATTCATTTCAGAATGTTGCTATCTGATTTGTTGTTCATTTTATTTTGTTTCATTTTTAATCTTTTCCATTTAAAATTTCTGACATGGCACACTCACAAAACAGTTGGTTTTGGCATCTACAACGTTACCCATTAAGCACTGCCCCCTAGTGATCAATGTTTGAATGACACTTGAAAACAAACGATTGTTTAAAATGTCAACATTAACCACACGGGATTTCTTTATTTCATGTGTACATTCAAATGTGTATCACAGATATACTGTAGATTATAAAATGGGTAACTTGACTGATGAATACCTAACCATAGCTGTAAAATGAATGTCTATGAGAGTGTAATTGTATAATTATTTATCATATCGCTAGAAATCCTCTACTGTATTTTTATTTAAATAATCAGGATGTTAGTTTCATAACAATGGGATAATTATTCTTATGAAATCGTGGTATTTGTCAGATGTCTACCCTGATAAAGTCTGTACAGCCTTGATATAGTGGAATGAGGAACACGAGTGAGAAGAGCCTTGCAGGGGCTCTCACGCAATGAAGCTATAAAAAAAGTGTATCAATTGCATAAAGTTTTTTAAAAATCCATAAGAAATGCAGACTGTTGGTTACTGTTTAATCCCAAATGCAATGAAGGATGACAAAAAGGCATTTTTGATTTTGAGTTTTCAACAAAACCCACCCTATGTTTTAAATCATATATTTTCCAATTTTCATGCAGACGCTGCTCCAAAATAACGCCAGCGCCACTTTCTTGAACACCCAACTCAGTGGGACTGAGTGGCGGGTGTCCGACGTGTCGCACTTCCTTTCCAAATCTTCGGATGACCAAAGACCTGCAGGATCAGCATACACCTGGAGGGATGTCTTCAATGAAAGTGACCAGGCCATACAGACAATTTCACGGTTCATGGAGGTTTGTATGATTAAAGCACATTAAAAATATACTTAAATATATAAAATACATAGAGTTAGAATTTAATCCTTTCAGTCTGTAAACACACGGTATGATATGTAGCTAGCTAAAGCACCATTTTCTCTCATGTGAACTCATTGAGGACGTTATGCAAGGGGAAACCCAATAAGGCAAGAGGCTGACTCCTAATTGGCCATTTAGGTTATCTACTAACATTGTTTTGAACCTCCTAATACAGTATGTCAATCGATTCATAATACTGTCTCTTTCTCGTTCCAGTGGGTCAGCATGCAAGGCCTTGGCCATAGAGACACACATTAACCAGCGTTTTTTTTTTCCCAGCTGAAAGGGCCTTGTGTGTCTCGTTTATCTGTGTCAGTGATAAAATTATTGAAGGTTGTTAGTTCAGTGTCTTGTGTGATCTGATAGCTTTGTGACTTTCTTCTTCTCAGAAGTACATGTAATGCTCAGATTACAGCACACGCAAGGAAATCCTGACAACCTTTTGGTCTCCTTACATTCACAATGCGGTTAAATGTCAAACGGTCAGTGCGTGTACGTCCACGTCATTTCCACTTGTGGAAAATGACATTGAATCAATTATGGATCTGGATGAGATAAGCATAACATAGGCAATGTCAAGCACAATCAATCAATCAGCTAAATCAATATCCCGACCTACTGACCCACTTGGTGGGATCCGCTTCCTAAGAAGCTCACATAATGCACGCTTGCCGTCTTTCTTCAAAAGAACTATGTCAAGGCCAAATGAAGTCTGTCATTTCTGCAATGGTCATGCTCCCTTTTCATCAGGTTTTGAACTCACTGTCCTCCGAGACACATGGTTCAAGTCAGATTAAATCAGTTAAGAGGCTCAGCTAGTGCTTTGCGAATGTAATGTCTATTCAAAGCCCATGTCGACCATGTTTAGTGCACTTTGTAGACTTGTTAGCGCTACAATTAGAATTTTTGGCAGAAGTATTTTTTTTTTTGTGGGTCTTATACAACTTAATCCAAAAATATGGATCATTTGAGATAACCCACCCTTCCCTCTTTTCAAATCAGTGTGTCAACCTGGACAAATTGGAGCCAGTAGCAAACGAGGAGCGCTTGGTCAACAAATCCATGGGTCTGCTTGACAACCAGAAGTTCTGGGCAGGCATTGTGTTCCCCGACATCACCCATAGCAACAGCTCTGACCTGCCTCCCAACGTCAACTACAAAATCCGCATGGACATCGATAATGTTGAAAGGACCAACAAGATCAAGGATGGGTAAAAGAGAAATCTTTCTTATCATGTTTGAATTGCCCTTGAATTACTGTTCAGTCAGAAGTACTCATTATATTCAAGCTTTAAAGGAGGCGTTGGGATTTTTGTTATTCTCTAGCTACTGGGACCCCGGCCCCAGGGCAGACCCTTTCGAGGACTTGCGGTACATCTGGGGTGGATTTTCCTACCTGCAGGATGTGATTGAACAGGGAATCATCCGAGCTGTGACAGGCACCAAGGAAAAGACTGGGATCTACATTCAGCAGATGCCCTACCCCTGCTACGTCGATGACATGTAAGTGACGCCACAATGCAAAAACAATCATACTCAAGGCCGATTGAGTAAGTTATGCTTCTCCCTTGCTTTTGTAGTTTTCTGCGGGTGATGAGTCGATCGATGCCTCTTTTCATGACGTTGGCATGGATGTATTCGGTGGCCATCATCATCAAGGGGGTGGTCTACGAGAAGGAGGCCCGGCTCAAGGAGACCATGAGGATCATGGGACTGAACAATGGCATCTTGTGGCTCAGTTGGTTCATCAGCAGTTTGATTCCACTGCTGATTAGCGCTGGCTTATTGGTCATGATATTGAAGGTAATACACACAAACACTCACACTCAAACCAATCAGGCTATACAAATGACTCATATTTATAAACGTATTTCTGTTATTCTGTATTATAAGAAACACTTGAATGGAGATATCTGTCTAGGTCCACAATATTTTCACGATCTTCATATTTTTTTCCCTCCTTCCTGTCAGGTCGGCAACTTGCTGCCTTACAGCGACTCAGGCGTTGTCTTCCTTTTTCTGAGCTCTTTCGGCGTGGTAACCATCATGCAGTGCTTCCTTATCAGCACATTGTTCTCTCGTGCCAACTTGGCAGCAGCCTGTGGTGGAATTATCTACTTCACCCTCTATCTGCCCTACGTGCTGTGTGTGGCCTGGCAAGACTACATTGGATATGGAGCTAAAATTGTCGTGGTGTGTGGATAGTTTGATTATCACCAACGCAACGCCATGTTTGTGAAATGATGTTCTCTGAGCATTAACTATTCCTCGTTTTTTCCATCCTCCCCCCAGAGTCTGCTTTCTCCTGTAGCTTTTGGTTTTGGCTGTGAGTACTTATCCCTGTTTGAGGAGCAAGGTGTGGGAATCCAGTGGTCCAACTTGCTGGCGAGCCCCCTGGAGGAGGACAGTTTCAATCTGACCACCTCCATCTGTCTCATGCTCTTCGACGCCGTTCTCTATGGACTAATGACGTGGTACATTGAAGCTGTGTTCCCTGGTGAGTTTCCTCTTAACTCGTTTTTTTCATGCAAATCAGCTGATGTGATAAATCAGAAACATTGTTGAAAATTTGCATTACAGGCCAGTATGGGATCCCCAGGCCTTGGTATTTCCCTATAACCAAGACATATTGGTGTGGCGAGCAACAGAGCAAGAACATCTCAAGCCTTTTGTCCAAGAAAGGCAATGCTGATGGTACATCTACGTTTTCATCTTTTCTTTCTCAGGTGAGAAAACCATATTAAAACATACTGATGTGGTGTTTTAATTGTGTTTCCAGCCGTGTGCATCGAGGAGGAGCCAAGCCACATAGATCCGGGTGTTTATATTGAGAATCTGGTAAAGGTCTACAGTCATGGAAACAAGCTGGCAGTGGATGGTCTCTCGCTGAGATTCTACGAAGGACAGATTACCTCCTTCCTGGGTCACAATGGAGCTGGCAAGACCACCACAATGTAAGGCAACACACACATCATATCTTCCCATTCGAGGAGGCAATTGACTAACTTGCCGCCGCTTCATTTTTTTGTTAGGTCAATCCTAACGGGGTTGTTCCCGCCTACTTCCGGAACTGCCTACATCTTAGGCAAAGACATTCGCTCAGAGCTGAGTACCATCAGACAGAATCTGGGGGTCTGCCCCCAACACAATGTGCTTTTCAGCATGTAGGTATTCACAGTTAATTGCGGTCATGGGAAAATGTTGTTTCTATTAGCAAGCATTTTGCTTTTCCTGGAAATTCCCTTGGCACTGGTTGATGATCCGGTTCATGTGAATGCAGGCTGACAGTGGAAGAGCACATCTGGTTTTATGCTCGCCTGAAGGGACTGCCTGAGGAGATTGTGAAGGCCGAAATGGAACAAATTGTTAATGATGTTGGATTGCCTCATAAACGACGGTCACGCACCAGCACACTTTCTGGTCAGCTCAATATTACTTTTACCACATCCCAATGTTTTAGTTGATCAGCACGAAGTATGTTTCATGTGAATCAGCTTACCGGTAGATATGTCTTAATGGCAGCTCTCCCGTTGCTTTCAATTCAGGTGGGATGCAGCGGAAATTGTCAGTGGCATTGGCTTTTGTCGGGGGCTCCAAAGTTGTAATCTTGGACGAACCCACAGCTGGAGTTGACCCCTACGCACGTCGGGGCATCTGGGACCTGCTTCTCAAATACCGACAAGGTAAAGGAAAAATATGAGTTTGAATGTAGACCTCTGCCAAGGCTCTAACATTTGTTACCTAAAAGATCAGCTACCATCGAGAACTGTGATTTTCAACTTAAATGATGGAGGGGGCCACGAGTTTTCATCAGCACTACCGGGGACCATGTCGGACCACGCACTTTTAACAAAAATGTCATTTTAAATTTGGACACAATGTGTGCTGACGCACTAATAGCAAAAAGCCGCATCTAAAAAAAAACAAACGTTAAAAAAATGTATTGGAAATTAATTTGCAAATCGATGAATCTGTGATTTCCGGAACCGCAACTTTGTGGCGGTCCACTGTAGTAGCGGATTAATGATTATCATAAAAAAAAATAAAAAAAGACTAATTTCCCCCAAAAGTAATCATGGTTGCAGGTCACACGAGGCCCCGTGGGACACCAGTTGCCCGACCCTGATCTATAACATACATTTGGTAGCTAAAAGGTCCAGATTTTCTTCTGCAACCAAAATAACAAATGCAATCAGATTTTGACTCAACAAATAATAACCAGTTTGGATGGGGTTAAAAAGAGATGATGTGAACATGTAAATAGAATATTCCATGCCAATTAATCTTCACTAAATACACAAGCTTGGTCAGATCCATACAATCAACAGATTACACCCAAATAAAATATAAACATGCTCATGAAAAATACTATGGTTAATGGGAGAATTGATCTTAAGTGTCAGTTTCACATATGATGAGGTCAGAACGTCAGTGTTGATTGGACCATAAAACAATCTTGGTATTCTTCTGTCAGGGCGCACTATCATCCTGTCCACCCATCATATGGATGAGGCCGACATCCTGGGTGACCGCATCGCCATCATCTCGCATGGCAAGCTCTGTTGTGTCGGATCCTCGCTCTTCCTGAAGACCCAACTGGGCACCGGCTACTACCTGACCCTGGTCAAGCGAGACTACGACTTGGCACTTCAGTCCTGCAGGAATTCTGCAAGCACTGTGTCTTACAACAAGAAAGCTGAGAAGGTAGGATGGTGTGTGCTTGTCTCACTTGCAACGTTGTCTTGCTTTACTTAACAATAAATTCATTCACTTAGGAGGATAGTGTCTCTGAGAGCAGTTCAGATGCAGGCCTTGGCAGTGAACCAGAGAGTGAAACCACCACCATTGGTAAAAAAAAAAAAAAAAAGAAAAGAAAAAACAGTGTTTTTACAATTTAAACAAGCATTGATAATTCATTAAGAGCTAAAACTAACACCTCTCTTTTCCACTACTCTTGCCTTCAGATGTTTCCCTCATCTCCAACGTGATTTTCAAGCATGTCTCAGAGGCTCGTCTGGTGGAGGACCTCGGACACGAGCTCACCTACGTCCTGCCCTATCAGTCGGCTAAAGACGGAGCCTTTGTCGAGCTCTTCCATGAACTTGATGACCGTCTCACCGACCTGGGAATATCGAGCTATGGAATATCAGACACCACCCTAGAGGAGGTAAGAATCATTAGTTTGCCGTTTCGCCTTCATACTATGGTGAGCAATCAAATGTGGAGGGGATTTCGCTTACATGACTTAATGAATGAACCTCAGCTGATATTTCAATCACGTCTTCTCTTTTAGATTTTCTTGAAAGTGGCTGAGGACAGTGGAGTTGATTCTGTGGAACTTTCAGGTGAGATTTATGATCAAATGAACGTATTTTACGATAAAATGTTCAACAGCTGGAGGAAGGAAACATGACAAACATGTCACGACGTGTTTCTAGATGGAGTAGTGCCGACGAGGACACGTCGCCGCCATGCATTTGGAGACCATCAGAGCTGCTTGAAGCCCTTCACTGAAGATGACTTTGATTTCAATGACTCTGAAGGTGACTCAGCAGTGGACTTGCTGCAAGTCTTTGTTGTCATACTTAAATGCAAAAAAAAATGGAACACTGGATGATAAAGGTTTGCGTTTGCATGTGTATTCATGTGTCTGGTGTGTTTCCAGAGTCCCGTGAGACTGACTGGCTTAGTGGCAGTGATGGCAAAGGCTCCTACCAGGTCAAAGGCTGGAGTCTGAAGCGACAGCAGTTTGTGGCACTCCTCTGGAAAAGATTCCTCTATGCTCGCCGTTCCAGGAAGGGCTTTTTCGCACAGGTAGGCTTTTTTTTTTTTTTAAATTAACACATAGATTAGGTGGACACATGTAATACAATCCTTAGAACTAGCTGATTTCTCCTTTGCAATTATAACAGAATGAATTAGGGCATTTTGAAAAAGTTCCCACCAAGTTAAACGCACAGAATTGTCCCTTAGGTCTTGGGAAAATAAAGAATTAAGATTTAAGGAGTTTAAGGTGTTTAGCCCAATCAGTGATTGAGTCAGAGGCGTTGCTCAATACTTGCGTTCGTGTTGCTCGAAAGATTAATTACAATGAAGTCAGTGTTGTAGTTTTAATGAATAATCTTGCATCTGTTCCCCCCCCAGATTGTCCTCCCAGCTGTGTTTGTGTGCATTGCTCTGGTGTTCAGCTTAATTGTTCCTCCATTTGGAAAGTACCCCAGCCTGGCTCTGGATCCCAGCATGTATGGAGAGCAGTTTACCTTTGTCAGGTATGCTTATCCGTCAGTTATTTATAAGTACAGTGCTGCGTATGAAAATTGCTTGGAAATGCATTTCCTGTCATCACGCACATTCAACTGAATATTATCACCGGACAGAAACACATGAAATTCAACTAATGTCGTGTGTCTTTCCAGTAATGACATCCCTGAGGACCCTCATATCAGCAAACTACTTGGAGCTTTGACAGACAGACCAGGATTAAGAACACGCTGCATGCATGGCGAATCCGTTTTGTGAGTCCGAACAAGTCTAAACAGAATCAGTCATGTGAATTATATAAAATATAAAATAATAATAATTATGATCGTTAGAAACATGTTTTATTGTAATCCATTTTATTTTTACTTTGCAAATTAACGTGTATGAATGTGTCTCCATATGGTGCAGGGACACTTCGTGTGCTTCCGAGGAGGCCGAGTGGTTGATTCCACAAGTACCTCAAAGTGTGAAGGACATGTTCGACAATGGCAACTGGTCAATGGAGAATCCGTCACCCCTGTGCGAATGCAGCTGCGAGGGGCGCAAAAGGATGCTGCCTGAATGTCCAGCTGGTGCAGGGGGCCTTCCGCCTCCACAGGTTAGTGAGTCCGGAAAATATACCGGTTAGCTGCTTCAATTGTAACTCAACCGTTCTGTCTGCTTTGTGTTCAGACGAAGCTCAGCGACAAAGACACTCTTCAGAATTTGACGGGCAGAAATGTGTCAGATTACCTGGTGAAGACTTACGCTCAAATCATTGGCAAAAGGTGACACTCATCACGCATTCAATTATTTTTCCCTTTTTTGTTTGGCTTTTAAGTCACTTTTCCTCGGTGTTTGAGACAGTGGTCATTTATAAAACTTGTTTGTTTGTTTCTATCACGTCTCAGCCTGAAGAACAAGATTTGGGTCAACGAGTTCAGGTACCTTAGCTGACATTTAATCCCTCTTGAGAGCTGGACTGTCCAATGTATTAAAATAACTTCTCTGTCCACAGATATGGTGGCTTCTCGCTTGGCGCCAGGGGCTCTCAGCTTCCAGCCCAGAGAGACGAGATCGATGAGGCAATTGCTCAACTGCGTTTGCGCTTCCGCCTAGAAAGGGTAAGATTTAATCGTTTTACTCTTTGAAAACAAAATGGGGTGAAAACACTGTGAGATATACACGAGGGAAAACATGTAAGACAAAGACCATACCTTGAAGTCTGTCTTTTTCACCCACCGTTTAGGGAACTGCAGCAGATCGTTTCTTTCGCAGTCTCTCCAACTTCATTCAAGGATTAGACACCAATAATAATGTCAAGGTTAGTGCAGGCTCACATGGACTGCACAAAGAAACCATTGAGGAGTGTGACCAAAAAAGCACAACTTGACTTGGTGTCCCATTATCTGTTCACAGATCTGGTTCAACAACAAGGGCTGGCACAGCATTGGCTCTTTTCTAAATGTGATGAACAATGGAATCCTTCGAGCAAGTCTGCCAGCTGGCGAAGACCCCGCCAAGTTTGGTATCACTGCCTATAATCATCCCCTCAACCTCACCAAGGAACAGCTGTCACAAGTTGCCCTGTAAGTCAACTAAAACAACCTCCAAAAGACACCCTTCTGACCACCCAAGATGAAAAACAAACTCATGACTTGCTTTTCCCTCTTCAACCAATTTTCTCAGAATGACGACATCGGTGGATGTGCTGGTGTCCATCTGCGTGATCTTCGCCATGTCCTTTGTACCCGCCAGTTTCGTTGTCTTTCTAATCCAAGAGAGGGTGAACAAGGCCAAACACTTGCAGTTTATCAGCGGAGTGCAACCTTTCCTCTACTGGCTGGCCAACTTTGTTTGGGACATGGTATGACATTCCTCTGTGCAGTTTTCTAAATGCTTTGTGATATGAGGAATATTTTGAAATGGTTCACCCTTATCAAGCAGCATTCCTTACTTATTGCAAATGAAATACGATCATGAACCGGTATTCAAATCCATTGTGTGAATTTGGGGGTCTCTTGAGAATTGATTCCCTGTCCAGTGCACAACCCACACCACACCGTCGACCACGCTCAAAATGGGTGCAAGATGTAGATTGTAGATGACTCAACAAATGTTCCTTGATTTCTTTCTCCTCTTCTTGCAGTGTAACTACATTGTCCCTGCCACACTGGTCATCATCATTTTCATCTGCTTCCAACAAGATGCTTACGTCTCCTCCACCAACTTGCCCGTGCTGGCCTTGCTGCTCCTGCTGTATGGGTAGGTTGAGGGCATATTTCTTCACGCGACATGCATTTGAATACTTATCTAATGTGTGTTTGTGTAAATAAGCCGTGAGGTGCTAGAAACTAGCCCTGACTCGACTTGTCTTTTCAACTTCTTTTCCAGGTGGTCCATCACGCCTTTGATGTACCCGGCCTCATTCTTCTTTAAGATACCCAGCACGGCCTACGTAGTTCTGACCAGTGTCAACATACTGATAGGAATAAATGGCAGCGTGTCCACATTTGTACTGGAGCTGTTTGGTGGCAATGTAAATATCAACTTGTTTCTCATTTGGGTTCCACTTGATAGATATAGAGCCGATATTTGGTGTTTTGATATTGAACATTTTGGATGCCGAAATATGATGATTGAATGAGAGAGAATATTTGGATCCCTTCAGGAGATCGGTGGTATCAATGACATCTTGAAGAACGTATTCCTCATCTTTCCTCACTTCTGTCTGGGACGAGGATTGATCGACATGGTCAAGAATCAAGCCATGGCGGATGCTTTGGAGAGATTTGGTGAGCACAGCAGAGTGATCTGGCAAGAGCAAGAAACGAGTCCATACCACTTTTATTGTGAACTGTGAAAACATTCTTGTGTGTTTTGACGTCAGGTGAAAACCGTTTCCGTTCTCCTCTGGCTTGGGATATGGTGGGAAAGAACCTGTTTGCAATGGCCATTGAGGGAGTCATCTTCTTCTGCATCACCATCCTCATCCAGTACCGTTTCTGTATCAAAGCCAGGTGTGTGTATGAAAAAAGGAATATTTTACCCCCAGTTTCGATGAGCTTTTAGACATTCACAGTTTGGGCCAAATTCTTCTGCCATCATGAGTGTGACCTCACCTCCGCGCATTGTCTTTGCAGGTCATCATCCAGCCACCTGAAGCCAATTGGCGAAGAAGATGAAGATGTGGCCAGAGAACGACAGAGAATCCTAAGTGGTTCAGGGCAAACCGACATATTGGAGCTTCGTCAGCTCACAAAGATTTATAAGCGGAAACAAAAGCCCGCTGTGGACCGCCTGTGCGTTGGCATTCCCCCAGGCGAGGTAGGGAAAAAAAATGCCTTACTCTTTTGTGTTCATGACTCTAGACACATGTAAATCGGGCCGTAGAGCTCACCTCGGTACAGTTTGAAAGATGAAATCCTGATCCGGTTTCCAGTGGCAATGAAACGATAGTTAAATATTTAATTCTTTATCTTTCAGTGTTTTGGTTTGCTGGGAGTCAACGGCGCAGGGAAAACCAGTACGTTCAAAATGCTCACAGGCGATTCAGTGGTTACCAGTGGAGAGGCCTACCTGGCAGGCAAAAGGTACCACATGTATAATACTTCTGAGTACTCTGTAAGGCTCTAATTTATGCAGACTCACTGACATTAGAACACTTTTCCGGAAATGATTACTCATATTTTTCCATGTGTGCGTGCACTTTGCTCCAGTGTGACAACAGAAATAGATGAGGTGCATCAGAACATGGGCTACTGTCCGCAGTTTGATGCCATCAATGACCTGCTGACGGGACGAGAGCACCTTGAGTTCTACGCTATTCTCAGAGGTGTTCCTGAGAAGGAAGTGTGTGAGGTCAGTAACACAGACACATACAACTAGAGGGCCCTACGCTATCAAGACAAATAACCTAGCAACGTTTAAACATTTGTAAGGGCTACAAACAAACTGAGCGGATTTGCCCATGTTAAATATTTCCTCAAGACGACGTAAATATGGTTGTCATGCTTATATATCAGAAATTGCTCCTGTGACCGTGTAAATTGTGAAAATACATCAACAAAGCAAAAGGTTGATGTTTGGTCCTCTCCGCTAGGTGGCAGAGTGGGGCATTCGCAAGTTGGGCTTGGTCAAGTATGTTGACAAATCGGCAGGGAGTTACAGTGGAGGCAACATGAGAAAACTGTCCACAGCAATCGCTCTCATAGGAGGACCACCAGTTGTATTCCTGGTAAGAGGAAAACTACAGACACACTCACCAGTCGGCCTCCATCTTCTTTAAAGAAAGGGATTCGCATCATCGGAACGCATCGTGTTTGTATTTAACAGGATGAACCTACAACAGGCATGGACCCGAAAGCACGGCGTGCCCTGTGGAATGCCATCCTGAGCATTATCAAAGAGGGACGATCTGTCGTCCTGACCTCCCACAGGTTAGGATTTAAAAACTCCGATCAAATCTGAAGACACGCGTTGAGTCATTTATTGAACTGTATTTCCCCCCTCAACATACATCATTTGATCCGATGGGTTTGGTTTTAACAGCATGGAGGAGTGTGAAGCGCTTTGCACCAGGATGGCTATCATGGTCAATGGCAGATTCCGCTGTCTGGGGAGTGTACAGCACCTGAAGAACAGGTAGCAATCACTGCAGAAAATCTCACTGACAAACCTCGCGGTGAAAACTACAACATATTGTTACATGTTTTATTAGATAAAGTGCATATCTGTGCAACATTATTACCTCAGTCAAGACGGTTATGTTTTTGTGAGAAGGCATCCTATCGAGAATGCCACTATTATGTTTGGTTGAGAATCCACACATGGAAACACATCCACACGCTTCCAAATCTCATCAGATTTGAATATACTTTTGAATGAATATGAAACTCTGAGAAAGTCTGATTTGACATGAAACTTTGTCTATTTTTCTGTGAAAATCGGGACTGTATTGTGATGTTAGCCTTGAGAGAGATCTGCGTGCTGAGTACTCTTGTTGTCCTTTTACTTTGTATATTGCATGTTTTCCCACTCTGGTGATGGGTTGAGGGCGTTAACGCTGTTTTAAATGCCGATTACCCATTTTTAGTGTACGTAAATGTGACAATAAAACATCTATCCCTTCAGGTTTGGAGATGGTTATACCATCATCCTGAGGGTGACCGGACCGGATCCAGATCTCAGGCCAGTGATGGAGTTCATTGAGCTGGAACTTCCTGGGAGTACACTGAAGGAGAAACATCGCAACATGCTTCAGTATCAATTGCCCTCCTCCCTCACCTCCCTCGCACGCATCTTCTCCCTGCTGGCCACCAACAAGGAGGCACTCAGGATAGAGGACTACTCTGTCTCTCAGACCACACTAGACCAAGTAAGGCTCTTTTAGGTGTTCCTTTATAATTGAAATATCCAATTCTATTTTCCAGTCTTTTTATTGTAACGTATTGTACCAGATTTTGCAAATAATAAGTAAAATAAATTAAATGTATAATAATCAAACCACCCCCAAGGAATGATCTATTTATACTGGAATGCATGCTTGAACAAAAGTATGGCTTTTTAAAAATGGGAGGCATCTATCCTCAAAATGAAGTTAGCTCCACAATTTGGGGACTGAGGCAGACTCAACTCAACTCAACTCAACTGTATTTATAGAGCACTTTCAAACAGCCATCGCTGCATACAAAGTGCTGTACATGGAGCAATTTAACATATACAACAAACAGTAAAGCAAATCGGTAATAAAGACGGTAGAAAGCACCGAACAGCAAAACCAAGAACAAATCTAAATCATGCTGAGTCAAATGCCAAGACTCGAGCATTTGTCCAGTATCATATCATTTTATTTTATTTTTCCCCCATACATGCATATACTCAATGTCAATGCCAATTTATATTTGCATGTATAATCATTGCAATATGATGGTTTGTGCTCACGGCATGTTGTGTCCTTTAGATGTTTATTTAACTATTAAATGTAATTTTGTCAATTTGAGAAGACTTGATTAGAATAAATGAAATTTATTTTGCACGGATGATCTAATTTTTGTTCCTCTTTCTCCCATTAAGGTGTTTGTAAATTTTGCCAAGGACCAAAGTGATGAGGACCACTTGAAAGACGTCCACCTGAGCAAACGCGACGCGGTGGTCGTGGACATTTCCCAGCTCAACTCTTTCCTCATGGACAGCAAGACCAGGGAGAGCTGTGTCTGATTCCACCTTGCCACCAGAGGGTGTCGCCATGTGTCACCCCCCACCCCCCCCCAAACTCCCACCCCAGATATAATCTGCACCACGAAATTTCAAACGGGAGACAGACTATGTTCACTTTATTTTGTTCTCATTTGTAGTATTCTTTTTTTTTGTAATTATGTCTCAGTGGACCTGCTGTTAAGTGCACAGCCTCTGAAGATATGACGAGGCAGAGACTGCAGGTATTGTTAAAACACTGAACTCAATGCAAGTCAATGCAAGAAATCTCTATATTTAAGACGAAAAGATACTTGAGTGAGGGTCGGAGACTGGTGCTTCTCCTTCACTATGGACAATTGAGGCGGGGTTGTCATGCTTTGTTTGACTGGAAAAGTAGCCGTGCTACTGTCTCAGAGGAAGTCTCACTGAAAGCCCATTCCAAAAAGTAGCAAGCTACTTGGCCGAGGGAAGAAGAATGTTCTGATCATTCACTGCCGACCGCAAAAGGATTTCAAGGACTTCAAACCCTTTTTCAGAGTCAAATGTCTTCGTTACCAGGAGCAGTTTTATAAAGCAGGATGTGTCTCAAAATAATCCCAACGCATTTCAAGGGAGGAACACAAAATTAATGACACTTTTTTCTCATTTGACTCATGATAAGTTGTAACTTTGTTGTACCTTTCTTTGAATAACAGTTGATTGATAACGTTGTTGTCGTTTTCATTTGTTGTTCTTCATGTCATGACTTAGTTCATCACAGTGCCTATGGTGAAGTGGGAAATAAATGTTAGCACTCCATTAATAACATCAATATAGGCTGGAAAGGGATGTTTCAGACCATTTGACAAAGAATACTCTTTTTTTTGTGAAGAGTAGAAAAAGTTGTTCCCTGTTTAAAAAAAAAAAAGAACAAACATAATGTTATCTTGATGTCTGTACATGATGTGCAGTCCACTGTTATGCCATGTTTTCACTCGGCCCCGCCGTCTTGGGTTTCTTTGAGTGAAAGGTGCAGGGGGTTGAACAAGAAGATGAACATTGCATGCTCGCCCCCGCCTGTAGTGTGGCAAAGCTTGCAGATTGTTTCGTTGTTAGTGGATTTTAAGAACTGCGTGTACACGAGGGCACTGAATCTAAATGAGGAAATTGTGATTCGTGGGATGGGAGGGGGGGAGTCAAAAGGTAGCACTCATACCTGCTAGTTGACAGTCGTACTTCTGCTTTCCTTGTGATGGAACTAAGATGGTCAATGTTATGTACAGTAGAAGTGTTGTGGTGTTCACACAAACATAAGCAACAAGCAGTTCCGTGCCAAACTGAATACTGACGAGGCAACTGTTTTGTACAATTTAAAGATGTGCTTTTTTTTTTTTTTTTGTCATTAGGCCACTTAAAGCAAACTACAACACATGTTACTGTAGGGTGAAAAGTTGCCAAACTCTAATATTGACTGTGCTACCATGACTGGACACAATCAGGGACCATTGCAATTTAATTAGTGCTCTGACCAAATACATAGAATTATATGCAGGGTTGAAGGAGGTAACTGGTGCTGAATGTTCAGTAAAATCTTGGAAAGGGTTTCCGAACAGCTCTGGATTTATTAGTAAGCTGTTGCGGACACCCGGAATGGCTGAAAGACATTGAGCAGAGCACCAAAAACAAAAATTTGCTACACAACATCATCAAGTCTTTACTTTTAAAGGTAGGAGTGCTTGACCGAGAAAAGTCAAATTGAGATTCGTGAAATCGAGAGATAGTGGTAACGTGGTGATTTTTCTCCTCTTTTTGCTCAATATTCCTATTCGTTTACATTTTTTTCAAGTATTAAACAACAGCTGATTGAGTCTGTTACCCATTGTGTATAGTAACTGTTTCAATAAAGTTCATACATTTTGGAAAAAAAAAAGCCTAATCTGATATTTTTGAGGGTGAGGGATGGAACTTTAGGGGGATTTAACGTGTCTATTGTCATACAGTGCCGCTGGAAAGTATTTTGTAAGGAATTCATCCCATTTTGGGATGAGGCTGTAACATAACAAAATGTGGGAAAAGTGAAACGCTATGAAAATTTCCCGGATGCCCTGTATATGGAATTTGACATGTACTTTTATTTGCATCCCAGTAGTGAGACAGTATACATACACACACGCAAAGTGTAGAAGTGGTTAAATTATTTTTGTGTGCATGTTTACTGCCTGACATTCATTTACATCTGGAGTGTTCCCACGCCTGATTATGCTGCCTGTAAAATCGCAGACCTGACGTGTCAGTGTCGGTCCGTTATTCATCCATCAAGATTCATCATGACTGGGAGAGCTCTTCTGTGTGGACTCCTGCTCTTCTGCATGGCTGCAGGTATTCACACTCTGAATCAAAGTATATTTATCTCCTTGGGCAATTAAGGATTAAGATACGCACGTTAAGATGTATGAATGAAGGCACGCAAAATATGTTTAATATGCTGCAAAACATTTCCTATGACATTTGCTTCTTCACTTATGTTTACCATCTAAGTAACATAGCATAGCAGTGGAATGGAAATACCATCCGTTCTTGTGATGGAACCCAGGGGCAGAAAATCAAACTAAAAGAGAATGGCCCCGAAATAGAACCCTGTGAAACACCAATATGATAGTGCGGCACACTGTGACTCAGAACAAACAATTCTTACACAAATTCCTGCCTGCAAAATACGATTTAATCCCACTAATCCCTACAAAGTGCTGCAAAGAAACCAACAGAATATTGTGGTCCACCATATCACACACTGCAGTCAGGTCCAGCAGAACAAGGCACACATAGTCCCCAGTGGCAGTAGCCAGGAGGTCATTAAAAACTGGTAATCAGGCTGACTCTGTGCTATTCATCATCTTAAAACCTAATTGCAAGACCTCCTTGGCATTATGTTCATCCAGAAATAATTTCAACTGGGTTTGCACCTTTTTTTTCCTGGTTATTTTTAAAATACAAGGCATTTTGGTAATTAAGCTAAATTTGTTAAAATAAGTTTCTTGAGCCGGAGTTGCACCACAGCATGTTTAGTATTTTGGGGGACGAAACCAGAAGACCATCTGCTTTTGATCATGGCCATTATACTCTGGAGGACCTCTTAAAAAAAAAAAAAATACAAAAATTGGGACAGAGTTTGAAAGGCAGCCAAATGGCTTAATGTGGCAAACCACACCCTCTAAAAAGCCATACCTCAAGGAAATCGACTCAAATGAATTTCACACAGCCAAACAAAGGTACAGAGTCAGAGGACTTAAATGTGGTAGTTGAAACGAGAACCCTCGCCGTAAACATACCACACTGCCAATCTGTAGTCAAACTTTAACTACAGGAGGGTCAATGAAGATAGACATGACCGCCAGGTCAAGTTTAGTTTTTTTTTTTTTTGTTTTCATCCCAGCTCATGTTTTGCCTTTTCATGACGTAGCCTATTTGTGAAAAGTATTTGTTTGGAAACAGGAATCATGTTTCAACATTTCGGCTCTTTTCACAGATGCAAAGAACACGGGATCCCCAAGAAAGGTGATATCTGTTGTTGTGAAGAAAATAAAAACATATTATCTTTAAATGTACTTTCTTATTGAGGTCCACGAGAGATACAAAATGTTACTTTTTTTTTTTTGCAGCCATCTTGTCCTGGTACTGATGAGTTTTTGGCATGCCCCATGAACTTGGCCCCTGTTTGTGGTAGTGATGGACACACATACGCAAATGAGTGTACCCTTTGTGTCCACAGACAGTAAGTACACAACCGTACACACAAATGCAAAAGGAAATAGACTCGGGAGTCCCCCAAAAGGCACAATGTGTTCACAGGTGTGATCTGGTGGCCAGAAACAGCATTCTTAGTTCTGAACTCTGATTGGTTGAAAACGACACAGTTATGTTTTTGTTTAGATTACATTTGGTTTTGTTCCCTCGTGTGCCCTTTTTGTCTTCACCTGTTCTCGTCATCCGGGTCCCTTGTGTTAACCAATCAGCTTCCTCAACCCTTTATGTCTTGTCCAGGTGCTTCTCGTTGTCTCGTCACTTTGCTTGTATTTAGTTCCCTGGGTTGTGTCAGTCTTCATCACATCATTGTGTTTCTGTCATGTGTGTGGTCCTGTCATGTTTTATTTCTAATTCTATTTTTTGGGGGAGCGGGGGGGTTACTTTGGTATCATATGGTTTTCAGGACGTTGTTTGTATGCTTCAGTTAGTTTTTCCCGTGTACTCCTGCAAGTATTTTTTTTTAAATATATTTTGCTCAGTCCATCCTGCTCCCCCTGCCGCCCTACTTGTTGGGGTCCTCTACCTACCACCTCGCACACGTGACAGAACCTCCACACAAGATTATATTTGAACACATTTTTTTTCTTGGTTTGTTTTTGTAAGAGATACGGATGTGACTGACAGGAGCCTACTTTTCACCTTTGGTATATTGCCCATTTTATAGACTTTGTAAACGATGGAGGGAAAAAAAATGCGCAACGAATACCAGCAAATTTTGAAGTGGACTATTTTCTCTCAACAGGACAACAAAGACAAACGTTTTGATTGTGCACGATGAAGCCTGCTGACCTGCTTAGCTGCTCAGCAAGTGGATGTCATCGGCAGCAATGTTTCAATCACAATAATCAGAATGAATAATAAAAGTCTATTGACAACATCATGAGGTGAACAAATGTGTTAAATGTAACTTATATAATGAAGTAAAAGCATAAATGATCGCTTGGAACTCCGTTTACCCATACTGTAGTACCAAGCAACACAAATATCAGCTTTTGTGTGTCGACACTCGGAGGTAAAAGGATTGATTTAATTAAGCATTGGATGGAGAGATGCATCGAGTTAATTTATTATTTCTTTAAAAAGTTAAACTAATTAAAAACAGTTTCTCATCTACGATGAAAACCTGGGAGGCAATGAAGGGTACGGCATCTTGCCCAAGGGCACTTTGACAACTGACAGCCAGGGGCATGATTGAAACCACAGACCGTTGGGTTTACTGGACGACCCGCTCTATAATATTGCATTTGCATATTTGATCATTTCGTTCAAAATAATGGCCATGATTATTTTATGCATACATTATAATTCACTTGTTTAAAATATACAAAGATATAGTATGTTAAAATATTTATTTGTTGGAACTATTTTCCTGAGCCTCACGTGGCTGGCGATAGTGTGTAGTTAAGCGGGAGTGAGCTGGATGTTAGAGAGAAGAGGTCAGCATGTGAAGCAACACAATTTTTTGACCAAACCAAGCAAACAAAGAAAAGGGGACAAAGAGTTCTTTTTTATCTATGTATTTATTAATTTATTCTTATTCATATTCTTATGATTTTTTATTTTTTTTTATATAGTAAAGAGTCATGGTTCTGTCGTTTGAGTTCAAGACCCATCGTTATTCTGGCCTCAAAGGTGTTTTATCTTTGTGGGATAACACCAACATTATTATACAGTATATACATTTCTAACATTAGACATTAAATATCATATTGGAATGAATTGGGATAAACCACTAGGTCGGTGTTTCTTAAGCTGGGTTCGGTCGAACCCCAGGGGTTCGGGTGAATCAGTCTCAGGGGTTCAACGAACCCTCTGCCGTGGCGGTTAAGACACACGCGACTCAAAATGTCAATTAGTTATGACACGCCCGCTTGGCCACCACTGACTGCAGATGATCACAAGACATTGCTTGTCCAATCAGTGCTGCGGGAAATTTAGTTCGCTCAGTAGTCAACGTGTGACTGTCGTGATAGTACGTGGTGTGATTATTATTACTTTTTAAAAATGTTTTAAAACATGCTATGTCGAGCAAAAAAAAAGAAAGTGATCAGACAAATATGTACAACATGGATTCACATTCATCACGAAACATGATGGGACTATCTGCATGATTTGTCATGCCAAGTTGAGCAACTCTCATCTCGCATCGGCAAAACTGAAGGAACACTTCTCGAATCAGATTTTTATTTTTCACTAAGGGTTCAGTGAATCAACATATGAACCGGTTGGGTTGGTACCTCTAACAAGGTTAAGAACCATTGCCCTAGGTATTGGTAGACATTTACACAATGTGACAAATTCTCAAAAACCAGCATGAACTCATATGAAACAAACCATGGTCCACAAGAGATTAAATAGTCTTTGTGTGCCTGTTTACTGGCTGAGTTTATCTGTGTGTGTGTGTGTGTGTGTGTGTGTGTGTGTGTGTGTGTGTGTGTGTGTGTGTGTGTGTGTGTGTGTGTGTGTGTGTGTGTGTGGACATTGATCCGGAGTGACTTGATGCCAATAAATACACAGCACAAAGAGTGTGACAATGTCAGTGTGAGTTATTCGTCCATCACCATTCATCATGACTGGGAGAGTTCTTTTCTTGGGCCTTCTGCTCATCTGTGTGGTTGCAGGTATGCAAATAAAAAAACATTGAACATATATTTGCCAATCTAGAGGCTGATTATTGAATTGTATTGACAAGATCAACACTAAGACACGAGTGTGTAATATTATGGGTTATAATTATTTCCTACCAACATTCACACATAGCAACATCCGGTGGTTTAAAAAAAAACCACAAACGTAGTTTTGGTTTTGTAATCATTTATTCCAATTTACATGTATAACCTGAAATAAGGAATGACTCTATATTATTCTATTTTGTAAAGACACAAGGGTGGCCCCTTGTGTCTTCACTCCCCCAAGTCAAATAACGTTTTTCATGATCTGTGTTTTTCATACTGATGGTAGTATTTGTATGAAAGCCGTACTTACCTTTTTGAAAGCAATTTCTTCTTTCACAGACACAGAGGCTTCACCTGTCAAGGTATTTGTACAGGTTCTAAATAATTACATCCTCAATGTATTTCTGCATAAGGGCAATGATGGAGAATGTTATCACAGTCTTGAAAGGAAATAAATATTAGCACCCTTTTTCCATGTTCTTTATTTAGCTAGATGAGAAGCATGAAATATTCAACACCTCTCAGTCTGAATTAATTCATTAAAACTGTATACGTGTATTTGTGAACACCACAGCTTTTTCCTGTACCGATTAAAATGTGCATATTTGTTTTGCTTTATTTTTTGGTCAGCCAACCTGTCCTATCACACATGGGCCAATTATATGCACTTCTGACTACAACCCCGTGTGTGGTACTGATGGGAATACATATTCCAACGAGTGTGCTCTCTGTGATCACATTCAGTGAGTATACACACACACACACACACACACACACACACACACACACACACACACACACACACGCACACGCACACGCACACATACGCGCACACACACACTAAGTCTTCACAACTTCACAATTCTAAATGTTGCTTTTTACTTAGCCTTGTTCCTGCATTAACAGTGTGTGGACAAGATTGATATATAAGTGGCCTTGGCCACCCTGTAGCTCCGCCCCTGCTCGAATGCACGCAAGCACAGAGTCATTCTGAAAAGTCTCTTTTTCTTGGATCAAGGTTTGAAAGGCTTTGCCTTATGGTCAAAATAGAAATAATTGCTGCCCTAACTTTGATCTCTGGATGGTTTCAGCCTCCCACGCAAGATTAAACATGTACTATTTCTGTCTTTGTTTTGCAGAAGTGCAGTAGATGACAATGTAGATCATGGTTATTTGTTTTTATTGAGCAACTAGTAACAAGATTGTGAGAGGTTTTTTTTTCTCACAACCTCAAGTTCATTGTACCTGCAGCATGCAATTTCTATTTTTTTTTTTGTTGACTCTATGTATGTACTTCGATATACAGTACTTGTGGTTGTTTTTGTAGTCAAAACAAAGTTTTATA